TCATGGCCTCCTTCCTTTGGATTCCGGACGAGCAGCAGCATCGACAGCACGCGGTGGGCGCCGATGAACAAAATATCAAAACAGGGTTAGTCGACTAAAAGCGTAATGCTCAATCATTCAACGGCTTGATGGTGGAACTACACCTACCTTCCAGGTTGAACAGAAGGTACGGTATTCGGTGAGGCAATTTGTGAGGGGGCAGGTTGGAGTTGGAAACCAAACAAGACCGGACCGATTTGAACATCACGACACAAAGCCGAGTCAAAACCTGGTCGTTTTAACTGCAGGTTGGTGTTGGGAACCAAACAATACCGGATCCATTTGAACATCAAGAAACAAAGGAAGACCAGTTAATGATCGGACTCCTTGTTTTGGGTTGGGGGCCAACAGGACAAGCAAAACCCTGCATCACGAACAGAAGCAGCAGTTGCTACAACTGAAAACAGAGAGTTTCGGCTGGCTGTTTATATCCCGTTCAACCCGAGCCACATTTGGGGTTATAACCAGCACCTGGGGTTAACTGCACCCACGTTTCGGGTCGCAATGACAAAACCAAACCCACAGCAGCCAGACAGGAAGGTGCGTACCCACCAGCTCGTTTCACGTCGGGTTACCCACAACAGCCAGACACGTAGGTGCCTACCCACCTTGCTCATGTTCTCGAGTTCAAACGACCGGCCTTTCTGTCCCAGGACCTCGAGGTTGAGCTGGAATCCCAACCAAAACTGGTGGGGGCGCGTTTTCAATTTGCACCTCGGCCAAACCTGCGCCTGGCCTGGTTCCGACCTTGGCTGGGGCTTACCGGCCACAAACTGGGATTTTTCTTGCTCGCGCACCAAAACTGGCGATTTTTTAAACTTCGCCGACATCTGGATTTGATTGTACCCACAATTGGAGTTGCAATGGCGAGAATTAACCCAAAACTGTGGTTGCTCAAACAAATAATACCACATCGCCAGGTTTCATGTCTGGTACACCAACAGCCACACAGGTAAGCGCTACCCTTTGGCTTGGGTTCTGTCATCACTATTTCCCTTCTATTCTCGTTGCAATGTGAACCTCCTTACACTGAGAATATACCTGACGGTCCTGACCTCATCAATCAACAAGGTAGGACTCCCTGAACAGCAAACGAGATGGATAGTCTAACAAGCAGTAGTTTATCATGATGGAACAATTCCAGTGCCATCACGAAATAGCATTCAGGAAAGGCATACAAACCACAACTTCCCCATACTTCCCCCATGGTTGTTGGACTCTCTATCTATTTCACCAACATACTAGCCATCTCTTTCTCCATCGACACGATTCTCTCGAAACGTTTCCCATTTCTATTGCAGAGCGTAAGTCCTATCACGACCTTCTCCATCTGTAGTGACTCAAACCGCCTTGGCGTAGCACAACATCTACCTACTCCTCGTCTCCCCATACCTTCAATACTTCCCGTAGTTGCCAAACTCCATGTATTTCACCGACACAATGGCCATAGCTTTCTAAATGTCTGCCGGCTTTCCAAACCTTTTTCATCTGTGTGGGGAAGCTGAAGCCCTACAACGAGGACGTATACAAATCTCCTCCATGGTGGCTGAATGACGCATACAACGAGGACATACATGGAAGAATTGCGATTAACGAGTAAGCACAGAATGGGTAGTGATGAGGTCATGACGAAGACGTGTATGACATCCCCAAAGGCTCAAGGTCCAGACCGGAGTGGTTAACAAAGAGAGGATGACAAACAGCGAAGAGATGCTTTCTTTTTCACAACCTCCTGCATTTCACATGGGCGTCAAGAATAGCTACTTCAGAAAGTGAGAGAGAGAGAGAGAGAGGGGGAGTGGGGGGGGCGGGGGGGAGGGAACACTGTGGCTGCGAGACCACCTCTTTACACCACCCTCAGATAGACTGGTTCTCAGGTCCAGCTCCATCTCAGCGTGTTCAACCCCCCACTATCGTGGATAGACAGCAAAATCTATGTCCTCGTTCCTCCTACATCTACCACCCTCGCATCTTCATCACACGAAAGCATACCTCCATGGGAAAAAAGAGGGTACAACATACCATCTTCCTTGAATTCAACATCCTGTAACATTGCTACACACGGCTACCCACGTCTTCCGTTCAAGGAAAGCCGTGACACCAGCTTTCATTCCTCAGCAGCCCATGGAACTCCATCGCCTTTCTTCTTTGGGAGACTTTCTAGTTTTACCAATTTCTGTACTTAAGAAAGCCCACTCTCGGTGGAGGCCTCGCAAATTTCTCTGCATTTATTCCAATTTCATCGTTCAACCACAGTCNAGAAAGCCCACTCTCGGTGGAGGCCTCGCAAATTTCTCTGCATTTATTCCAATTTCATCGTTCAACCACAGTCTGCCGCAAGGTATATCACCAAAGAGAGTCTGTTTCTATGCAGACTCCTGAACACCAGGCAAGGCCACTGAGAATGGCAAAGAGGAGTTCCCAGCTCGTTGAGAATAAAAGAGGGAAAAGGATGTAGACATGAACAGGAAATAGAGATAGCAACATTATCCTACTTACACCACCAGTACCTTTCCCCGCTTGGAATCAGTGCGCGGCAGGAAACATGGAGGCCTGATTTGGCCTCTGGCGCCGACCACATCCATCGGCCACGCATGGCGTGCAACACACGTGGCGGTTTAAGACTGTAAAACCACCAGCACCTCCGCCAGGCAAAAGAAATTCCCAAATTTCCAAAGTTTTCAGAGCCCCGTGGAGGGTCAGCAAGCCTTTGGTTTTGGGACTTGTGGGCCCGATTGCAAAACAAAAAAGATGAAGTGAAAGGAGCAGAGTCGAAAGGGAGGAAGTCGGGGAAGGCCGTGAAGGAGGTTTGCTCACCGTGGTACTCCAAGAAGCGCATCTACCCGGAAACTTCGCTACTTTCATTATTGGTTGTCTTTGTTTTTTCATTTTCTTTTCATCCTCTTTTTTGTGCCCTGCCAACGACGCAGGACGCATTACACGGGTACCTGACAACTCTGGAACTTAGGGCACAATCTCACTTGCACTCCATTATCAGCTCCAGGGTGGGGAGCCCACTATCAGCCGTCGTTCATGCAGCTGAGAAGAGTACCAATAATGGCAATCTAATGGTTTGCATCCCGGACCAAAAAAGAGCTGGTTTCGTAATTCCTTCCGCTACTGCACATATTGCTCAACTCATTACGAATTCTGACTCACCTGGGGGGGAAGCCATCTTGCAAGAGACTTGCCTATAGAGAGTATTTGTAGTGCCTGTGTGTTTCACCTACCATCGTCACCCGACTTGATAGGAATCCTGACTCGCCTTGGGGGGGAGCCATCTTGCAAGAGACTTCCCGATGGAGAATATTTGTAGTGACTGCGCATTTCGCCTACCATCTTCACCCAAGGAGAACGCCCGGTCATTATCGCTGCATCTGGACTGCAACCAAATATGGCTATAACAACCGGGCATTCTCTTCAGGTGAAGACGGCAGCTGCGCAAAATTCAAGGCAGTATGAAGAATATTTGTAGTGACTGCGCATGTCACCTACCATCTTCACCCAAGGAGAACGCCCGGTCATTATCACTGCATCTGGACTGCAGGTTGCTCCAAATACAGCTATAACAACCGGGCGTTCTATTCGGGTGAAGACGGTAGCTGCAGACAGCAGCTGCGCAAAATTCAAGGCAGTACTGCGGCAAGAG